CCATGTGCGTCCTTTGTGCGGGTAATCAAACTTTTATCTACAGAGGATGTCCTAAACCTAAAGTGCTTTCACTGCTTCTCAAACAATTTATCTCTACCATATTAACTTAATTACAAAATGTTTTTATTTACTGTCTCCAATCTATTAATGTATTCTAAATTTCTGTATTTACGTTGAATTATTCTTTTTGTATTAATGTACTATATTATTATGTAACTATAATTGTTGAGCTAGAATAGTATAGTATATAGTAAATAAAAATAAAGTGTTTATTATCTTCTTACAAAGTATAAGGTTCGGGTTGATATTTTTGTATAATACCATTGAGTATAATATTATATTGTATATTTACAATATTTTATACTCAATAATAAGGCATATAAAATAATATAATAATAATACATATTATACTGGCAAGAGGTCATAATATTATAAATAACACTTATTGCATATTTAATTACAGCTGATATTTCTGAATAATATTATTGAATTTTAATAATTGAATGTAAATAATATTTAAGAGGATGTCAGCGCACTATTTGTTTTCTCTCTCTGACCCACCCGCAACATAGACAAAACACATTTACGCAGAAACATTTTTTCTATGTTTTTAAGTAATCTTAGAGTAAAATCACCCATTACAAAAAAGATAGAGAATAATATTTTTGAGGGAATGTCATATTGATTTGTCTAAATATTGTCTCAAAACAATTTAAACATCATTTTAATGTACAACTTTTTTTGTTTATTTTGAAAGTCGAATACAAAGTCAAATAACCATAAAATATAAAATCGATATGACGTTCCCTCAAAAATATTATTCTCTATCTTTTTTGTAATAGGTGATTTTACTCTAAGATTACTTAAAACATAGAAAAAATGATTCTGCGTTCATGCGTTTTGTCTATGCTTCGCGTGGGCCCGAGAGAGAAAACAAATAGTGCGCTGACATCCTCTTAAAAGATACTTGATTTATTCCAATAAAATATGAGAATTTAGCAATGACAATATTTAAAAGATAAAAATCAAAAATTATTTGTATTTACAGTACAAATGTAAACACTAAGGTAGGCAATAGGCACCTGCAATGATTCATTCAATCAGTATCAAAAAATAAAAAGTTGAAAAAAGTAGTTCATGTTTGAGTACAATCATACTTATTAAAATGATAAGTTATTATTATTTGTTTTAAGCACTTATGTTATAATTTCACATTTTAATTTGTATTGTATAATTTTTTATGAAAAAGATAAATAATAGGTATATAAGTAATATTATGTTTTGAATCACAATTAATTAATACCTTCAATAAAATTTACATTTAACATTATTGTTTATTGTATTTGCTAATAGGATTTATGAACTTATAGAGATTTGAAGTATGTGGGAATATGCAAATACTATATAACCTAAAATTTAAATTATTTCTAATTTATTAACCAAAAACTATAATCATTGATAAACGATAATATTAATCTCGGTGTTACAAATTAATTTATTTTAATGAAAATTTTAAGGAGTAAAATAGGCAACTACTTTAACAATCTCGGGTGGTAATGAAAAGAAATAATTTTACAGCAAACAGTTTGTATAATATGTGGCCTGTATTATCGTATATTGTATTTTTTTAATGCATGACGTAAATAATAACGTCACGATGTAGACATAATTTGTTAGTTATAGTCAAAAAACTTCAAAATGCTCTATTTTTGGAAAAATTGTGATTTTGAGTTTAAAATACTAAGAATTTATATTTTTAGGAATTTTTTTTATGAAATGTCGATATTTTTATATTCAACGTATTGGTGAAATCAGAATTTACCTATTTTACTTTCTTTTTTCTTATTATTAATAATAAGTAGCCTACCTAATTAAGAAAGATGGGTAAATTCCGATGTTAACAACACTTTGTTCATTAAAATACTAAATAGAAATAATTTATTCAAAAATTATTAATTATTTTCAATTAATAATGTTTTAATATTTATACTATTAAAGTATAAACTACATTAGGTTCTAAAACTATTGAACTTATCTAAAAGAGTCATGTAATTAGCAAGTAAACTACAATACCCATGTAAGGTATTATTCATATTTATTTTTATTTATATATGTTTATAAATAAAACTTTATTATATACAAAAAACTAGTTATAAGGCACTAAAACAACGAATAATACATTTTTTTTATAAGCCATCAACAATTTGTCTTATCAATCTATAGCTTCTTAATTTAATCAAATATATGATGCATACATAACATGTATAGTGTAAATCAGTACAATCATTGATTAAATATGTATAAATGTATAATATGTATATTTAATCAATGGTACAATGTAGTAAAATAACTATGTTTGCACCACAACTATTAGTAATAATATGAACAGATGGAATCGTTCACAGACATCACTGCATGATAATTGGAACAAAGTTGTTTTATTAAACTTTTTACACGCTCCCATTAAGTTCAATAAACTAGATTCAATAAAAAAAAAAATATGTGTGTTACCAGTACGCGCGCGGGAAGTTAAACTTCTTTTGAATGGTACACGTGAGTGAGTGAAAAAGAAAGAAAAAAATATTAATTAATTTAAAAAATGAGAAGAAGTATCCGGAATTATTTATTATTGATAGTTTTATTATTTTTTTTTATATTTTTATTCGACAGATTGATGGATAATTGTTTGTAGTATTGTTTTTATCCAGACAATAGATTTGTGAGTGAATAATAATAATAATAATAATAAAAATAAATAATAATCGATCATTAATTATTCATATTAATTAGTATGGCCCGATTATAATATATAATATATTTATATATATATATATATATATTACTAGCTGATCCCGTGCACTTCGTTTCCCGTTAAATGTACCAACTCTATATGACTCAAACATTGTTTAATGCGTTATTTAATATTCGGTGTATGATGTTCTAGATTTATCTTAACTTTTCTGTTGCCCGGAATAAAATTTCTGAATTGCAGCAGTACATTATCAGATAGGTAATTTACCTGGGGTAGATCGCGGACCCCGTGCTGTTTGTACGTAAGTGTATGATTTAACTCAAAAAGTACCAAAGTTATACCAAGTTTGACGTTTTTACTTAATTCCACCTACCTATAAATCCTAACCTAACATAACCGTACTAAAATCCGATGAATAAAAAAAACCAAATTTAACCCTTTTTTAATTAGCGTATCTTCTTCCCATAGGTCTACACACCGTCATTCATTTATATATAAGATATATTTACAAAAAATAATAATACAAATAATATAAATAATAATACAAATCAACAAACATGCCTGATTAACCAATAGCAACCAATATAATATAGGTAATACACCATAGAGTAAATAAAGACAACGTTATCGAGTTCAAATCCCAGACATCAATAAATAGTTTTTGCAGTTTTTCTAATTATTCCGTTGACTTTTTAAAAATTTTCTTTCGTAAAAACCTTCACCTGGCAATTACGAACATCTTAAAAAAAATTTGAGCAAAATCGGCCCAGCAGTTTTCAACTGATGCAATTTCGAATTTTTTGTCTCCATTTTTATACATATAGATAATATATAATATATATAGATAGATAATATATAATAAAACAACATTACCATGACAATATTTATTTATTTACGGACATGTACGCTTTCGCGTTCGTACGGCCGCCCGTTCGTAGCGCTGCCCGTTCGCTTTTTTTTTCCTCACTACCCTGCGTAAAGAAGTATAACTTCAAAAATATTTTCAGTTATAATATTATTGCACTCACAATAAAATATGAAAAATACATTACATTACTGAACATCATGATTGGTAGTAATGCCCCATGCTTAGAATTAACGGCGATACTCAATGTGGTAGCTTGTCATAACACAAGTATGCTATATTGCTATGTAAAACTAATATTGTTTGTCAATGAGAATTCAAAATTGGTTTTAGAACTTTTATTGCTTTAATATTATTGTATTAAAATACTTGAGGTATTTTTGGTATTCATTCAATATGTGACCTACCTGTAATACCAAAGTGTACCAAGACAAAATCTACACATAATGACAATAGTTATATCTACTATGTAGTATGTGTGCTTGTTTATTTTTATAATTGTATTACATGAAATATGATTACTAGATTTTACCTACACATAATCATCATTCTAGTTTATCCTGTGTTTGCATATAATGTGACAAGAGTATAATTTACAATACATAAAAGTTAATCTTCAAAAATCAAAATAAATTGTAAAATATAATATTGATGCACATATTGTATCTTTTAATTAATGTAAATTTATTTTTATTTACTTATTTTAATGTAAATAATTTAATTTTTCAAATAACTTACTACACAAATATAAGAATTTAATACAATTCTCTGTAATATAACTAGAATCCCAATGGCCACTTCTGAAACGAGTTTTATTTTATAATAATTTAAAAAAAGTATATTTTTATAATGTCCGTGATAATAATGTTTTTATACTCGTTGTTGACAATTATCAGTACGAGTTTAGTTGTTGGTTCATCGCTTGTATGATAAAATAAACAAAATGTTAAATACGATTATTCAATTCGAAAAATCAGTTTTAGAATTGTTATAAAAATATAAACTTTAACAACAAAATGATGAAACTAATTCATGTCATAAAATTCACACTAATACAAAGATGTACTTATGAAAAAAAAAACGATTGGTTATGGTTAGAAACTAGTTGGTACCTAGTAGGTTACTATTTAAAATACAAGAAGATCACGCGGTGTATACATACATAAAACACAGTAATAATAAAATGTGGTAAAACGCCAAAATGTGAGCGCCGATTAGTTTTAGGTTCAGTAGTGGTACAAAACAATGGGTCAAAATGTCTTGGCCAAATAATGAAAATAACCTGTCTCCAACCTTAAATGATAAAATATTATATTTATAAATAAAATGTAGTAAACTTAAACGTAAGTATTTTATAGTTACCTCTAACATGTTAAAAAATATTTATAACTTAATAACCGTCTGGCTTTTAATTACGTGATATATCATTGAAGTATCCCTTGGTAATAACATCATTAAACATTTCATTAGTACTGCTATCTTTCGTAAGTCACAAATTCCTGCAGCAGATAAGTATTTTCTTCCATGATTGTCCCTAAAAGAAATTTTCAATACATTTCAATTGATTATAACAGTTTTTTAAAATTCTCACTTTAATTTTGATAAGGAACTACAAATTAATGATTTTAATGTGACTAACGCCCGTAATGGTAGGAATGTGTAGACAAATAGGAATGAATCTACACACTAAAATTACAACACATTAAAGTTAAATCTTTAGAGTACCTTGTAAGGTAAGTTGTATAATATGTTATACACTATGATTAAGTATAGTAAAATCTAATTGAGGCTTACACACCTGACACATGCCATAGAACATGAATTGTTCTACTTCTAAGCATCTTTCCATAAAAGTTTAAACTTTTTCTGGCTTGTCTGAAAATTCTTTTTCATCATTTTCTAGAGAATAGCCAAGGTTAAATTCTAAAAGAATAATGCCATAAAGTGCCAAAAAAAAAAAAAAAAAATGATTTAGTCAAGAGTAAAAATGTCTTATTCTTCAAGATTAATGTATCTAACATTATTAAATATTGTTGGATTATAAAACATATTCAATTATCTACAGATTACTGGCAGTAAACAATATATAATAATTAATAATATATTATATTTAGCATAGTTCTGACATCTGATATCTGCGATATATTTTTTTATATATTTAATTATTTTAACATTAATTTTGAGTTCCTTTATACAGGCAGTGGCGTAAACTGGGTGGTGCAAATGCAGCACTTGCACCACCACATCTAAAATGTGGTGGTGCAAAGGTATGTTTTTGCACCACCAGAAAATCATTGAAATATATAATATATAAAGAGGTACAAAATAGTTATTTTAGTGCATGTATTAGACATTATCATTTAAATTATTACCCTATCTGGCCTATCTATATTCTAAAATATCGTACAACCCCCATAAATAGTTAGATTATTATCTATGGTAACCACTATCCACAGAATTTTGTATTTTATTATGGCAGTATCACAGAATCACGATTAAAGATATTATATCTTTAATCGTGCACAGAATAGACGTATAATTGTTCTGTGGTATAATATGGTAAAATTATATTGCTATCAACATTCTACCGCCAAAATAGTGTGTTATCACTGGATCAATGTTCATTCAATTCTCAAAAGTCAAATGTCAGATGATAGCTAGACGTCGTATTGAATCAAATTTTAAAATTCTCTTCAGGTTTCATAAGCGCCAGGAAAAACAACATAAAAATTAAGGAAAAACAGGAATTTTTACCCGAAATCGGTTTTCGACAAAATCGATTTTGGTTTTTGACCAAACAAATGAACTTTTACATATATAATTGAAATATTCACTGGTTGGGTAAAAAAGCTTGGAAATTTAATAAAAGGCTCCAACTATATTGTTACAATGACATTAGAAAATTATTAAAAATCCTTAGTCACAGTTTTTTTTATAAGCATTTAAAGTTCAAATCTTGACAAAATACAGAAAAATCACGAAAATTAACAATATAATTTGAGTTGAAAAAATCATAAAAATGTTTCTTTTCAAATCTAAGATTTTAAAATGTAATACAAGATTATTCATAAGTTTGTATACGCCTTTATCAAAAAAAAAAAAATGTCCACAAGTAAATCAAATTAAATTTTTATGAGCATTTGAAAATCATATTTTTACAAGATTAGATATTCACTAGATTTCTCATGTAGCGATTTTGTTAATTTGTTGTTATTCAAACAAAGAACTGTAAATACATGAAAATTTATATATTTATATTTTAATTTTCTATACACCACAAAGTTTTGAAAATATTTTAACTCTCTTTGAGGCTTTGAGCTGTTTCCGGACATTGTCATTTTTTAATTTTTTTAGTTTTTTTCTATACATATCAATAAAATTTTATTTGTTGGGTAAAAAGCGTGAAAATTTAATGGAAGGCTCCTGATATATTGTTACAATAGCGTTGAAAAATATTAAAAATACATAGCCACAATTTTTTTTTATAAGCATTTGAAGTTCAAATGTTGACAAAATGTATGGATAAATATATAGTTTTTTTTTGTTAGGAAGGATTTTACTTAGAAAGTTGGATTATTTTTGTGTTGGAAATTATAGGTTAATAATATGCCTCTGCACCACCAGAAATTGGACCCAATTTACGCCACTGTATACAGGTATAATGAAACCAAGTTAAAAATTATGCTTGACGTATCTAGATAATAACAATTAATTGAACTGATTATATAATACGTATAAATTATGTATAAAACATTCAAGATACATTTGCACTACAAACATCAGGAAAGAAAATAATTTAATTAGGTATGATGAAATTATTAGCAGAAGCAGACACGTACCTACCTAAGCTGGTCGACTTCCTAGTAGCAATCTCGACTTTGTCCATCTCACGAAATATAATAAAAACTCGAAGTCCCTCCCGTACCGGCTCAACGCGATGGGGGACAAAAAAACAGCCAGCGATGTTCATATTTATAATATAATTACAATAGTATAGTGTTACTGACTACAGAAGTAGGGCAGTATTAGCTTCTATCTAATATCTAATATACAGCTTATAGCTACTACCCAAGGTGTATTGATACACCTTGCTACTACCATTGATTATAATTAGTATTTATAATCAATGTTACTAATATAGTGATGGCAACTACAGAGCACAGCCTTGTGCGTTGACAGGGCGTTTTCACCATTATCACCGTACGGTTGCGCCTCAGAATAAAAGTTATGTGCAAGTTAGGTTATACATCTTGGTTATGTGTCCATCAAATGTAGATAACACGGTGTAGTCACTCGGCGTCGAAAAGTGAGTCGTAATTAATTGATGGCATTTAGTTCAGTATGTTGTCCGCCAGGAGCGCTAATAAGGACGATGGTTCATAATATAATTCTGTAAGGCCGTTGACGTATACGCATTAAAACTTAAATTTGTACTTTTGGATTTAAATCACGATAGTTTTGTGTACTGAGAAGCCAAAATAGTCAGACACATAAACTGTTATAAATATTGTTAATTAATCATATTAATTACAATGATTGGTAATTAATGATGTGCCATTATCATGTCCATTTGTCCAGAGTATTAAACTGACCTTGGATTCACATATGAACTTATATGAACTAATTATGATTAATTATTGTTTTGAGTACTATGGATCTTCGAGATTGGAGTTGTATAAAGTTAATACTTTCAACATATCCAAAAATTTTAAGTGAACGTTTTTTTTTTTTTAAAAACAGCGTAGGTGACAACAACTTACCCAAATGTAAATTATGTCTATCATTAGTCAAAACTTCCAGAAATTCTACAAATCTAATAAACCATTTACAAAAACACATCCTTCCATTAGTACCAGTCATAAAGGTGAACATAGTTCGGTATCAAATAGACTAAGGGCCGATTTCACCAACACAGTTAATCACGATTAAAGTTAACCGGAGTTTTAATCGGCCAAATTTGGCCGGTTAAATATATGTTATCAGCCGATTAAGCGTTAACCATGATTAACTGTGTTGGTAAAATCGGCCCTAAGTGCCGGTACCATACCCTAGGATTGCACTTAGAGTTAGGCCATAGATGATAGTGCTAACCCATGAATATTATATGACCTAAATGCAATCTTTTTCTAAAAATATTATTAAATATATAACTTATATAACTTTTTAATATACTATTAATATTATCTCTGTTGTCAAACATTTTTCTCTCGTTTTTAATTTGTACCAGGTAGGTACACGGAAAACAAATTTTATTATAGTAAATAGTTAGATAATTTGTTGGCGTACAATTTGTATTTAGTTGTGTCAAACAATGTGTTTAGTAATTAGTATAGAGAGTACCTGCAGGTACCTATAATATTAATCGGTTAAATAATTTTAGTTGTACCAACTTATTTTACCTCAAATTTAACCATATAAATAAATAATATACCCAGTAATGTTAACTCTACAATTTAGTACAGTCTCAGAACCAAAAGATGCTAAATTGATTTTTTTGAAAACCCACATTCCGAGACACAGGTGACACCAGTTTATTAATTATTGATCAATGCTCTATAATCCAAGCTTATATCCAACCTTGTAGGTTTATTATTTAATGAGTTAACCAAAACTAAAAGGTGCTACATCGATCAGATGAACACATTTGTTATTTGAAAGCGATCTGTAAATAGCACCTTATGGTTCTCATATTTTTTAATTTTTTTTTATAACAGCATTCCTTTAATTAATTAGTGAGCTACATTAATACCCTTACATGATTCCAATGACTCCGAAGTACCTAAGGTATTAAATCAATGAAATCTGGTAACCACCTTTGCTGAGCCGTAGAGTGGTGTATCTTAGTCTTTTGGTAAGCCAGCTGAAGGCCACGCCTCGTCATCAAGGTATCGATGCTCACGAGGACAGGGTTCACTAAGTCATCGAGAAGTTGCCTCGTTTTGGTGACACTGGCCAGAACGAGATCGTCGTCGAATCCCACCAGGTAGGTACCATGGGGGACCTCTCTCGTGAGCAGCCCACCATAAGTGACATTCGACAGAGTCGATTCTAAGACCGAACTCCGGGGAACTCTGAAATGTGACGGCCTTGCATGTTCTTTGCTCACCCGTAAGGAGTCCCCTGTCAGAGAGCCAGGATCGTATCATTAGCACTATAGGTATTCAGGTGTCCCCTTCCTCCTGAGCGCTTCATCGATCACTGGCCACTGAAGGGAGTTGAAGGCGTTTTTGAAGTCGAGTGTCACCAACTTACACAGTTTTTTGTGCCACCAATTACCCTCGGCTGACCTACCTACCTAACGTTCAGACGTCATTATAAAACGGTATGATTGTTCACCTAAATGGATAATTTTGTGATAATAATATAAAAATTATCTAGGATCTATGTATTTATGTTGGTAGGATATGTAGGTACTACGTATTTTTAATTATAGTTTCTATCATTTATATTCATTTTCTATAGTAAATAGTTTCTATGACATTGAGCATGTTAAATTTTAATAACTAGGTATTTACTTGTTTATTAAAAATTATAACGGCATAACGTTGATTTTACATAATATATTAGTACAGATACAAAATCAACATTTTTGCTTAAATAATATAATATTGTATATATACCTAACTTTTACAAGTAAGATCAAATTTAAATAATACAATCGATATCTATATTATAGAATTACCAAATAAAACCTACCATGATAACTATGTTAGGGCAGGAGTTCTGCTAGATGCTTATCTATTTAACTATATTATGAATATTGTGATCACTACCTAGCTATAGATATACCATATAAACCATATAAATGTTATTAATTTTCTGGTTGTTGAAGGTATTTAAAATGAGTGC